TTTTTTTCTTGAATACATCACCTTAATATTTTTTTAAAAATGTGGTAAGTCTGAACAAGAAGCCATTTTTTTTGATATAAATGACTAATAAAAATGAAAAAGAACAAAATGATCTAATTTTTTAATAAAGTATTGAAGAATGTAATACTTCATTGCTGTAAAACTCTTCACTGCCGAGTAAAATAAAAGTTAAAATTTTTCTTTGCAACAATTTGAGTTGAGTATTAACACAATAAAAGATATCAAATGAAAAAATTAGAAGAAAGGTGGATAAATATATAAATAAAATAATTAAACTTCTAAAGAATAAGCTAAAGTACTTCTAAAGTAAAGTGATGCTGGTTAAAAACAGTTTTCTAGAGGATTAGGAATCAGTAAAAAATGGGAAAAAAGTTTTTCAAGATGACATAACTGTGACAAATTTTTCGAGCAGGAGATGAAGTAGGACGAGGAATGGGAAGAACAAAGAGAAAGGAAAAGTAAACGAAGTGGAGAAGAGCAGCTAAAAACAAGAAAAAGTTTGGAAGACATCTCCAACTACATCGGTTTCTTTCTGTATCAGCTGATTCCAAGCTGTACAGTAAAATTAGACCTCAAGAATTATAACTAAGCTTAAAAAAGCAAAGCCACAAGTGTGTACACAGTTTAAATTTCATTTCAATAAACGTGACCATTGATTGGAAGTGTTCGATTCTGTTTGATACCAACCGTATATTACATTCTTTTTAGCGTTCGAATTTATTTCTGTTACTGTATTTTAGATGATCAAACTTATTTGAAGACAGTTCTGAACAGTGGTTAATTAAAGAAAAAAGTACGACTAAAAAAGCTGTTAAAGATTTTCCGACTAAAGCTACTTTAGCAGCTGTCACTGCTACCGTGACTAAGTACTGCTGTTGCTGATACTACTGCTGCTACTGCAACTGCTGCTTCAACTGTCGCTGGTGCTTCGTTTAGGGTTACTGTCACTGTTGCTGCTTTTATCGCTGCTACAGCTACTCTTACTATGGGTGTTTTTTCAGTATTGCTACTGCTACTACTGCTGCTTCTAGTTCTGCTACTGTCTGCTTAATTGTCGTCTTCACTGTCGTTGTCGCCATTATTCGGCTTCGCCATCCTCAGCTAATGACAATTGTATCATTTGACCTTCTGTGGTTATTACTGCATTGTACCAAGAAAAAGAAAAAATTTCTTTAAATTATTTGTTTATTTTTTTTTTTTTTT